GTCACACAGCAAAATCTTCAGTGTTGAAATCCTGGTGTTAAAGTCTCTTAGAGTAAAGTGTTAATTTTCTGGTGTTGAATCTCAAGGATTAACACTAGCTAGTGTAAACCACACTCTGGCTGGTGAAAATATGTGGAGTTAAATCTAAGTAGCACCTGAGAATGCTTTGACAACACCAATAATAGTGTTACTAGTCACATCCGGGACATTTACGTGCTGGGCGGAACGAAACGAGCTGAAACTTTACTCACAGACGCCATTTTCTTTGACTCGAGTCGCAAGGCATACGAGGAGGAAACACGCATTTATTACGTGTTTTATCGCATTTATAGATTCATTTTATAACATCATATTGTTTTATAACAATATGTATGTTCTGTGGACGAGCAAACCGCTCTCAGAGGGACATTTTCTATGATGCGCGATTCGGGGCAGACCAGGATGGGTTTGCTTTTTAACCGGGAAACAACGAAAGTAAGTGTTTTCTAATTTACATTGGCAATGTATTTTATAGTATATTGATTCATTGCGATATTTAAATGCCCAGCGCGATTAAACGGTCGAAATTCTTTTCAAAGGCGACATCATCTTTGACTAGCCTAAATACGGAGCTGACGAGGAGGAGGCTTAACGTTAACAGGGAAAACACCTACAGTAAGTGTTTTTAACATAATTTACCTCATGAATTTCATGGCATTATATTGTTTTGTAACGATATTTATGTAATGTGCGCGCCTAAACCGTCAGGTCCTGCATCTTTGACTCGTGACGCATTTCAAAAAGCAGTGCAGAATGCAGACACGGAGTTTGCTTTTAACAGTGAAAACACCGAGTAGGTAACTTTAAGTGTGTTTTTTACTTATTTACTGTGCTACGTGTTTTATAATATGATAATATGATATTGTTTTATGACAATATGTGTGATGTGCAAATATCATAAAGTATTTATCCTCAAACTATCTTTTACTCTCGTCTGCCAGCTAGACCAACTCCACAAACTGCGGACCAACAATGCACGTGAAATTTTCACTTTATTTCCTTATTTGGAGGACCAATCTTCTTAGAATGGGTAAGCAATTATTTCAAATTAAATATTGATGCAAAATGTATTGATCAGATTAACTTTTGGTTGATATTTGGAGATGCTTTAATGTTTAAATTTATTGATTTTTGCAATTTGTTTTTGCTAGGAGCAATTCTATGATGCACCAAGTGGCTAAGGGTACCAGGCTTGGTGTTTAAAGACTGTACAGACTAGAACCTGGTGATGGAAAGATAACAGATAAGTTAACATATGAGAGAATCATGGGCACAAACAAAAATAATCATGGCTTGGTATTACTAGATTTTTTTTGTTTCATAACACATATTTTGAATTTGTCTAGTCAAATTACTTAACAAAAGTGTGTGTGTGTGTGTGTGTGTGTATATATATATATATATATATATATATATAAACTTAAAATAAGATTTCTAATCAATGGTTTTCTTGATTTGACAAGTAGAAATCTCTGCCCATCACCTGCCCCCAACATTACAAAGGCACAAGAAGAGAACACCGATCCTTCCAGAATCCGGCGGCTGACTATTTAGTGAGATTTCTTAAGGTGCGTGTCTTAATTTATTCTTAAAGTGTTAGTTCACCCACAAATGGAAATTCTGTCATTAATTACTCACCCTTATGTCGTTCCAAACATGTGAGCGTTTTTCGATGTTCACAACACAAACGAAGATATTTTTAATGAAATCTGAGAGCTTCGTGCCCCTCCATTGACAATCTACGCAACTACCACTTTCAAGCCCCAGACAAAAGTACATCATTAAAGTACTCCATGCGACTCCAGTGGTTTAACATAAATGTTTATTAAACTATGCAAGTGCTGTGTTTGCAGCAAAAACACATTTACCAATTTATTAAATATTTATTTCCAACATGCGTTCATGAGAACATTACAACTCGTGCATGTTGTTGATGTGCATGTATGTGCATTGAAGAGGAATATTTTGTAAATAAAGTTGAGTTAAAATTGTGAAATTTATGTTACACCACTAGAGTCACATGGATTACTTTGATTTCCTTTATACCTTTCCGTGGCTTTGGAAGTGGTGGTTGAATAGGCTTTAGATGAATGGACAGAAATCTCTTATATTTCATTAAAAATATCTTCATTAAAGGGACTGTTCACCCAAAATGTAAATTCTGTCAGTATTTACTCACCTTCATGTTGTTCCAGCCCTGTAAGACTTTCGTTCATCTTCTGAACACAAATTAAGATATTTTTGATTAAATCTGAGCTATCTCACTCCTCCATAGGCTTCTAAGGGATCAAAACTTGCCAGCCCAGAAAGTTATTAAAGATATTGTTAAAATAGTCCAAGTGATTACAGAAGCGCAATCATAAGTTTATCAAGCAACGAGAATACTTTGTGTGCCAAAAACAAACAGAAATTACGACTTTATTTAACTATGCATGCTTCTCTGTGGGCCTTGAGATGGTTCTCGTAGTGTAACAGTGCTTTCGGTTGTACGTCACACAAAGGCTCACTATTGGCCGACGCTGGTTGTGTGTGTGTGACGTACAAACAGAAGCGCTGCACTGTTACACTGTTAACTTGCTCAGGCCCACGCAGAAGAAAATGAATAGTTAATTTTAATATTTTTAGTTTGGTTTTTTTTTTGCATACAAAAAGTATTTTTGTCACTTGATAAACTTAAGGTTGAGCCACTGTAGTCACTCTGTCTATTTTTACAATGTCTTTAATAACTTTTCTTGGCCGCCAAGTTTCAATCCCTTAGAAGGCTATGGAGGAGTGAGATAGCTCAGATTTAATCAAAAATATCTTAATTTGTGTCCTGAAGATGAAGGAAATTCTTACGGGTTGGAACAACATGAGGGTGAATAATTAGTCAGAATTTTCATTTTTGGGTGAACTAACCCTTTAAGTGTTTCGAAGATGAGCAAAACTCTTACTGGTTTGGAACAACATGAGGGTGAATAACTAATGACAGAATTACATTTTTTTTATTAATTAAATCTTCGATTTACTTGGAAATCAGTAAATTCAAGTCTTAATCAAACAAAAATGTTTTTTTGTTTGAGTCGATGATTGAACTTTTTTTCACCCTAAACTTGCTGTATTTATGAAACACAAATGTGTAAATGATCTGGTTTTGTGTTCTAGGTACCCAGTACTACACGATTTTTCACTAAAGTTGGATCTGCACAGCCTTTTCTGCTCTGTGAAACAACTGCACTGAACTTTACTGTTAGCGACTGGATACAGCTGATCCACTCATATCCTGCTACTGTTTTTCATCTGCTGAATGTTTTTGACTCAAGCACTGCTGTACTGTTGCAAAGTCAAAGGTACTGATTTAACTTCACTGACACAGGACTCACATTCACTGATATGTTCAGGACTTAAGTATTAAACACCATTTGATCACATCATATAATTCTGATGACAGAAATCCATATATTGTGCATTCATCGTTTATTTAAAAAATTAACCTATAATGTAAACGTGCTTGTTCGTTAATAAAAAAAATAGTTTGTTTGAAACAACTGTTTACATTTTGCCTTTATTTTTAACTTTACAGTGAACAGAATTTTACTATGATCCCAGACTTTTTGGATTGTTTTGAAATAAAGTTTTTTAAGAGTAATAAAGAGTGATGTGTTTATTTCAAAGTGAAATTATTCTTTTAAATAATAAGATGGTATTGCATTGGAGAGTTGTCTTATTCAATTGTATGTTTGAAAAATTTTAATTTTAATAAATGTTAAAATAAATTCATAGTAACTTGGTTTTTGGAAAAATATCTTCGGGTTTAAAAGTTTAATTTTTTTAAACTTCATCTGCATTACCATTTTAAAATAAGTATACATTATAAACATTAAATCAACATAAAAAAATACACTGGAGTTGTGTGATTAAACACCATAAAGTGTTAAATGTGTATATTTAAGAGTAATAATTTCTAACACCTTGAGTGATTAAATGAAACACTAACACAGTGTTTAAAAAATAAACACTATCGTCAGTGTTGTTTTAACACTAGCAAAGATGGACCTGTATGTTCACCCGGAAAGTGATAATTTTAACACCCATGGTGACAAATCTCCTGACATTTTTTTGCTGTGAACCCTTGCTAGTGTTATGGAAGAATGTGTTGATTTGAGAAATGAATGAAGTGTTTTGGTAGTTTTAGTGCATTTTGAATGTGAAATTAACTGCTGTGCTGAGCTGAAAGCTGGTTTGGAGAACTGTGTGAAGAGTTTTGAAAAAGTGACCTAAGTATTGAGAAATGTGTCCTAGCGACTGTAAAAAACTGTAACTACTTCAAACGATTCTTTCAAACGGCTCATTATTTCAAGAATGAGACAGATGTTTATGAACGGGTCATTGAATCTTTGACTCAATCGATTTGTTCAAAATGCTGAATCATTCAGTAGTGAAAACAGGTCAAGTGTTCCTGTGAGATGCGCTGTGGTTCTGCTGTGATTTTTGTTTGGAACTATTTTCGCTGCTGAAACAGAACAAAAACAGCTAAAATGTAAGTGATTTAATTTTAACTGTTTATTGAAATGTTGTAAATCAATGTCACATTTTCAACCGTGATGGTGTTCAGGAAAAATAAATGAGGTTGCTTAACATGTTAAAAATACAAAAACTCCACATTTAGATTTTTATTGGCATGTTGTTAACTGTGTGTGTGTGTGTGTGTGTGTGTGTGTGTGTGTGTGTGTGTGTGTGTGTGTGTGTGTTGCGCTCATTGTGTAGATTTCTGCTCGAGAGGCTGCGCGAGCGTCAACAGTGCAACCACCGTCAGTGAACTAATGCCGCGTTCCAGGCAACCTGTAACTCGTGTTTTTCCAACCTTATACCCGTGAAAGTGCACTGGAACGGCAGTCAAACTCGTGACTTACCACCCGTGAACTCGTACTAGATCGATGTACTCCCAGTTTCGAGTTCTGACGTCATAGCCCGCAAACCAATGACAGCCCCTACTTATGCAATGTTTCTGCAGGCGGTACACGGTGAGAATACACTTTAGGACAATATAACGTCAACTAGTTTTCAGTCCATTGAGTGCAACGATAAATATATACCAAATACATTTCCAAATATACAAATAAAGTAAAATAAAGAGTATAACAGCTTATCTTGCCTCATGCGCTATTTTTCCTCCTCAGTTTCCCCACAAATAAACAAGTAAGCACCTTTGGCGTTAGAAAATATTACAAACGCGCGTGAGCCCGTAAGGTCCGCCATGCTGGTTTGTTTACATCTAGGTAGTTTGGCGTGAATGACCTGGAATGCTACAAAGTCGTAAGTCGTGGTTTGAAGTCGTGATTTACGTGTTCAAAAACCTGCCTGGAACGCAGCATAATTACTAAGTAATTAGTTACTGTAATTTAATTACTTTTCCCTTGAAAATGTAAAGTGAGTGATTGCTCTTCATTTATCTGTAATTTAATTACAGTTACTTCTGATGTAATTGAGGTAAATACTGTGTATAGATCAATCCGATCTCACAGCGATTCGTATGCATTTTATGAGGTGTCTAAATTGTACAATCGCACTCAAATTCATATGAATTATTGTAAAATATGTATGATGTTTGATCATAATAGATTAAATACGTTTAAGAGTTACTGTATGGAAGGTTGAGAATTTGGGAATATTTGGGAGTCCGATACAGGAATTCAGTACACAGTGACCGAGTCAGAACAGTCGGAGTCAAGTTTAAGGTTAGCTTTCACACTGCACGCGGATGCAGTCCGTCGATCCGTTCCAGTTTGCGGTGCGTATAGTGCAGAGATCGTTTCCGCACCGAGTCTATTTCTGCTGTGCTGCAAACGCAAAAATAAAGAGACAGCACACGGTTTGTGGTCAAAATGAACACAGATTGACCTGGAAATGTAGTAGTTTCACCATAAATACATTAAAATTTAAATGCAAAAGAAAAGGCACGAGAGTCAGGTCGTTTGACGAGTCAGCTCAGCTCAATTTTAAGTTTTAATTTAAAATGTTTGTGATTTTAATATAAACACATGGTTTATGTAGGCCTATTTATTTTAATATAAATATATAAATACACAAATACATAGGGTACATTTGACCACTTGCTTGAGCAACTTAATATAGAAGGAATGCAAGGAATTATAAGTTGTTGTGTTTAAACGTGCATGCCCATTCAAGTTTGTAAAAGTGCACAAAGAGAATCGCAATGCTGACAAAACGTTTATTTTAATAAAAGTTGCTGCATAATTCTTTATTTAAAATAAAAATAGTGATTAGGCTATGTGTTTGTGTGTTACATCCATGGATCAGTTATGCAGCACTTTAGCGCGTGCTGCTGCTGGACCGGATAAGCATCGCAACACTCTAGGAAGAGATACTGACCGAAATGTATTCTCAGTTCTCAATATTCTCAGTTTGAGGTCTGGCGTTCTTCCAGTCGAATTAAAAATGGCTGCGGTGACCCTGATTCTTAAAAAGCCAGGCCTTGACAACCTAAATATGACAACTACAGACCAATATCCAATTTAACATTCTTGAGCAAAGTCCTTGAAAGGGTTGTCGCTTCACATTTACGAACACTCTTGGATGCTAATGGTCTTTTTGAACCTTTTCAATCTGGATTTCGCCCATCACATAGCACTGAAACTGGCCTTCTTCGGGTGGTCAACGACATTTTTTTGTCCAAGGATTCAGGGATGATAAATATTTTGATGCTCCTTATGTAAGCGCTGCTTTTGATACAGTTTCCAATGAAATATTTAGGCTTTCTGATATTGGCATCATGGCTCTGCTCTTTCCTGGCTCATTTCATACATCAGTGACAGAAAGTATTATACAAGGGTTTAGATCTGCCACTGCCTCACTTACACAGGGTGTTCCTCAAGGTTTGGTTCTTGGCCCACTATTGTTCATCATTTTCATCTATCCACTCGGTGACATCATACGCAGGCATGGACTTAAATTCCACTGCTATGCTGATGATATTCTAATATATCTCACCACCAGCTCTGATAGATCATTTCTGCCTGACTCACTCACTGCATGTATCAGGGACATCAAGCATTTTTTATCATTTCCTAAAATTAAATGATAAAAAAACAAGATATTATTGATTGGCTCTATTACCTCAGTCAAAAGGATGGACCAGTCCTTTGATATTGATGGAATTCACATAAATCCTTCGCCATCGATTCATAACCTTGGTTTCTTATTCGATCAAACTCTATCATTTTGCTCTCATATTTCTTCTCTTGTTAAAAACCCTTTTTTCCATCTTCGCAATATTGCTCGTTTACAATCTTCTCTCACTTTAGCTGAAACCGTAATTCATGCATTACTCACATTACGCCTGGACTATTGCAGTGCCTTAATTCTTGGTCTTCTCAAAAAAGTTATTGCAAGATTACAGTACGTTCAAAACTCTGCAGCGAGAGTTTACACCTCTACTAGGCGTTCTGCTCCCATTACTCCTCTGCTTCACGAACTTCACTGGCTACATGTGGCATCACGTATCCACTTTAAGGTATTGCTTTTAACGTTCAAAGCATTAAATGGTCTTGCTCCACAATATTTGTCTGACCTACTCCTCCCTTACCGGCCTACATGGTCTTTCAGATCAGCTAAACTTGGTTTACTGTCCATCCATCGTTTCTGGTTGTAGGTGGAAGGTCTTCGGAAGAAGAAGAAGAAATAGAAACAGAAACAGAAAGAGTAGATCGGTATGTTAGCTGGTGTGGCGAGCCGCGCTGTCTCGTCACTGTTACAGTTTTTCTCAATCGATTTGGTACATTTCTCCAAACTCAGGTCACTGCTCTCAAAACATTTAACACAGTGATCTGTACACTTCGTAATGGTCCTAAACAGATAGTAAATTCTCCTTCATTTCATACAAATTACAAATCAAAAGCATAATTTTCTCAAAACACTGTGCACAAAATTCCCTAATGTTATCACAGCAGTTCATACACCCAACCGAATCTTTAATATTTTAGGAAAAACTTTTGCAACTTTTTCATTGGTCTTCACAAAGATCACAAACATTTTTGTACCATTTTCAAAACTCAACAAACAAAACTCTATGAATTGTAAAATAGTCAGTTGCACACCTTATGTCCTCAATTAACCCCGAATTGATATCTGACGAGTTAATAATCCCCTCAACACAGAAAAAGCCAATTTCCCAATTGTTCACACAGCTGTCTTAATTATAACAACTACAAAGGGGAAGAGAAGAAGAACAAACATGAATGAGGAGAAAATACAATAAAAAGAAGGGAATGAGCAGTGGAAAAGGAAGAGGTGTAAGAGCGAGAGGTGGTGGACAAGGTAGAGGGAAAAGAAGAGGAAGAGGAGATGGAGAAGGAGCTGAGGATGTAGGAGAAAGAAGAGCTTAGGATGTAGGAGAAAGAAAAAGAAGAGCTGAGGATGTCGGAGAAAGAAAAAGAAGAGCTGAGGATGTCGGAGAAAGAAGAGCTGAGGATGTATGAGAAAGAAAAAGAAGAGCTGAGGATGTCGGAGAAAGAAGAGCTGAGGATGTCGGAGAAAGAAGAGCTGAGGATGTAGGAGAAAGAAAAAGAAGAGCTGAGGATGTCGGAGAAAGAAGAGCTGAGGATGTCGGAGAAAGAAGAGCTGAGGATGTCGGAGAAAGAAGAGCTGAGGATGTCGGCTGAGGATGTAGGAGAAAGAAGAGCTGAGGATGTAGGAGAAAGAAGAGCTGAGGATGTAGGAGAAAGAAGAGCTGAGGATGTATGAGAAAGAAAAAGAAGAGCTGAGGATGTCGGAGAAAGAAAAGCTGAGGATGTCGGAAAGAGAAAGAAGGACTGAGGATGTAGAAAGAGGAGAAGAGGGAGAAATGTGATCGGCCATCATGCTACAGTCAATGTCCCTGGACAACGAGGAGGCAACATCACTCTCTGTGCCACAATTTCTACAACTGGTGTAAAACAACTTTTTTAAAAATGTAGGAGCCTTGCTGTGTTGAATGGTCAAAAGAGAGCATCTCTTTTGACCATTCAACACAGCAAGGCTCCTACATTTTCTAAATCTCCTCAATGAAATCCTCTTTCCGCAGGGTGATCAGGAGCAAATGGTGTGGTGTGAATCAAATTGAGGAAATCTTACCAACAAGAATACAACTAAGTCTTCTTCAAGTGATGGAAGAGGCCTGTGGAGATATTGAGGCACAAACGTGTCTAGGATGGCTACTGCATTCAAGGCATTTTTTCCTGCGATGCATGACTCGCAGGAAAAAAAAACAAAACATTTGCTGTGATGTTGATGAAATTCTCTGGCCAGATGTAATTGAGAGGCATGATAAATAAATTGATTCAATGAATGCATTTTTTTAAACCTATGTATTTATTTGCATAATTTATTTTATTTATTTATTTATTTTGTGGGGTGACAACTCATTGTAATACACATGGACTCATCATTAAAGAACTTAATGAAAAACATGTATTTCCATTTATTTCTTTGTGTATCTTCAGCTGAATTTGTTATCAAATCAACAGAGAACACACTTTTAGTTTTGATGTTAATATTGATTTTTAATAAATGCATTACTAGAATAAAATGCTGTGTTTCATTGTGCAGCGAATACTTAGCTGTTTCGCCAACATAAGAGTGTGTTTAGTTTGCTGTGCTAACTGTTTTGAGAGCAGATACCTGAGTTTGGAGAAATGTACCAAATCGATTGAGAAAAACTGTAAGACAAAGACCATTTTGAGAAAGAAATACATTGAGAAAGAAAGGCCACAGCTACATTATCATCAGAATGTATGTAAATCTGGCTGTCGTCTTCATAAAAAAAAATATATATATATGAAAGAGGGGAAATGTAAATAAGTATAAGAGAAAATGACCCAAAACGAACCCTTGAGGAATGCCAGATTGAAACCACACAAGCACAGACATTACTCATAACACTAGTCCAGTATCAGAAACATCTCTCAACGGGGGATTAAAAGGTGATCTACAGTTATCCTTCCGTAATAATGTCAGATAATGTCACTGCCTTGTTGTAAAAGGAGTGTGTGTTGAAAAGCTGATGAGGTTAAGAGTGATGTATAGATGTATTCCTGCATATCTATATTAACAGCATCAATCAGTGTCAGTGATGTGAAGAGCTGTAATATTCTCATGAGACGATCACATTCCAGCTACACACACACACACACATACACACACATCATATATTACATCATTTATCAACTCAAACCAGCTTATCTGCCACTGGAAAAAAAAAATCTGGTGTAGAATATATTCAGAAATCACTAGTAAATTTCACAAATAATTATATAGAAATGTGATGTTTAATTAAACATGAAATTCTGAAGTAGAAAAACATATTCCAATAATCTATTCAAGTACTTCAAAAATGTTTTTACAGTGCATGCAATTCTCAAATCGAGAAAGTGAAATTTAACTATAAAACAAATGATTTCTGTGAAAAATTGAATTCTAATGTTTTCCCAGTTGTAAGACTTGCTGTCGAATCACGACACAAGATGAGTATTCCTATTGAATCAAGCAGCTTAAAAACAAAATTAGTACATTTTATCAAAATCTAGATCTGGAGCACTACGTATAACATTTTGATGAGACGCACTGCAAGAAATCACGTTCTTCCTCAGTGTTTCTGTCTTTTACAGCACACATATCTAAATATTCTGAATCAAGACACATTTACGGAAGAAAATACAGACTTTAACTGTTTAATAAAAATTTAAATGAAGCGAGTTTATGCTTAAAACAAGAGCAAACCTGCAAGTGGAGACAGAAAAATAAAATTCATTCAAAGGGAAAACTAGATTATTTTCTGACTCAAAATAAGAACAAATATCTGCAATTGAAGCACAAACAATATTTTTTTTCATTCAACAAGGCGTAAGATCTTCACTCCTCCAGTAAACGTATCTTGTTTTCCAGTACAAATATATCTAGTATCTAAACATTCTTAAATCAAGATATATTTACTAGAGAAGAAGCAAAATGACTGAAGTCTTTAATTATTTTATGAAAATTTGATAAAAAATTAAGTTTATGCTTAAAACAAGAACAAATATCTGCCAATGGAGTCAGAAAAATAATCTTAATTTAAGATTTTGACCCAGTGAAAACTATTTGTTGTTAGTTTTTTTTCATTAAACAAGGCATAACCTCTTTAGTCATTTTGCTACTTCTTCAGTAGGCTAAATGTATCTAGTTTTCCAGTACAAATATCTGAACATTCTTTTATCAGAATACTGTGGAAAGAACCATTTTAGTGCAAATCAAGAAAATATGACAAACAAATGTAACAAAAGCAGCAGAAAAGAGAGCTATTTGTAAAGCGCATTAATTCATCCGTATGAGGTTATATGGAAACAATGAGCCACACTGGCCTGGAATTACAGGGAGAAGCAATAGTGCTCTCACACACACTGGTTATGTGGCACTGGAGTGCGAGAGCCTCTCGGCCTCTGAATAACAATCATGCGTGAGCTAATGAGAAACTCAAGCCTTCAAACTCAATCATGATCCGCATTTAAAACATGTCAAAACCCTGCAAGACTTTCAAGACTCAGTGCAAGATTCTTAACAGGTCCATATAAACTCAACCCGAGAGTCCCACCAGGAGAACCTTCGACAGCAGAAGCCCGAGGATAAAGACATGAGGGGAACGTCATATTCGCAGAAGAGCCTGAGCGTCAGCGGCTCCAGTCGGATGAGAGTCCAGAGCCCATCTCCGTCCCGATGCCGAGGCTCGTCGTTCACCCGAGGGCGAGCTGGGTTCCCGGGTGAGGCTGTGGAGGTCGCCACCGAGATCCATCAACACCAAACCAACGAGAAAGAGGAGATGCAGGAGCTGAACGTGCGCTTCGCCGGGTACATCGAGAAGGTCCAGGCACTGGAGACGAGGAACGCCTCACTGAAAGCCGAGCTGGAGTCGCTTCAGGGACGCTTTAAAGCTGGACCCACCGGCCTCGGGGACGAGTACGAGCTGAAGTTTAAGGAGATGAGGGAGCTTATCGAAGCCCTGACCGCTGAGAAGGGCTCGGCTGATATAGAGAGAGGTTATATCGAGGAGGAGGTGGAGGTCTGGAGGATGAAGCTCGAGGAGGAGATGGCCATCAAAGGTGAGGAGATCATTTTATCCCTTAAAACTCATCTTTGATCACCAAAATTACAGATGTAAACGTTTGTCTGGAGTTTAAAGCTAACAAAAAAATGTTTTTCAAAATATTTGTCTTTCAAAAGTAGTGAAGTTAAAGTAAAAAGTTTCCAGAAAAAAAACTACTCAAGTACCGATACTCAAAATGTCTACATAAGTACAGTAGTCAAGTCTCTTTTATTTATACAGTGTTTCAGAGCAGCTTTACAGAGATAACAGGACAATAATGCAACAAGATTTTGTTTCAGAAGAGAATAGCGTCAGTCCAGCTCAATAATATTGCTGAATATTGTCAAAAGCCAATGGCAACAATGGTGAAAAAGGCTTTACTCAGTACTCAAGTAAATAAATGGTAAATGGACTGCATTTATATAGCGCTTTCGCTTTCACCTAATGGCCACCAAAGCGCTTTACATACTGCCTCACATTCACCCATTCACACACTCATTCATACACCAACAGCGGTGTCAGCCTTACAAGGCACCATCCAACCAGCTCGTCGGGAGCAGCTGGGGTTAGGTGTCTTGCTCATGGACACCTCGACACTTGGTAATCATGTAAATGTACTCCGTAACTGTCCACCTCCAGACTGATCTCATGAAGTAGCGTGTGTATGACACGCCAATTCATATTTCCATTTTTGGCGTGCTATCAAGACGCATAATCGCCTTTCAGCGTGTTTATGAACGCCGTTGACTTAACGTTATATAAATATATGACTTACCTCAACCCCGTCCCTAAACCTAACCGTCACTGGGATTAATGGCATTTATGACTGTTCCCTTACCATCCTAGGTAAAAAAAAGATATGACTTACCTCAACCCCATCCCTAAACTTAACCGTCACTGGGGTTAATGGCATTTATGACTGGAGATTTGACTGCGTGTTCAGACACGCGGAATGACGCGGACCTTAATGGCGTAGACATACACGCGGACACACGCGGATAGCACAAAATGCGTGGAGATAACACGCCACCTGACTCGAAAGTGCCGTATATGTTTACCCAAAAGTCATGATGTCATGTTGCCACCTCTGTTTATTTATATAATACCACTTGTATATGACCTCTCTAATGACCTTGCTGATTTGACTCCACAGAGGAGGCTGAAATGATTCTCCGTGAGTTCCGCCAAGATGTCGACAACGCCACGCTACAGAAGGCCGATCTGGAGAAACGCATCGAGCAACTGGTGGCCGAGATCGAGTTCCTGAAGAAGCTTCACGATGAGGAAGTCGCCGACCTCCTCAAGCAGATCGAGGAGTCCAAGGTGACGGTGGAGCTGGACTCTGACAGACCCGATCTAGCGGCGTACCTGAGAAACATGCGCGCGGAGATCGAGGCCGTCGCCGCTCGCAACGTCCAGGAGGCCGAGAAGTGGTACAAGGGCAAGTTTGACACTCTGAAAGTGCAGGCCAGCAAACATGAGGGCCACATGAAGACCATGAAGGATGAGATCACCAGCTTCCACAACCAGGTTTCCGACCTGCAGAACCAGATCGACAGTCTGAGGGCCCGTAACGCGGCTCTGGAGCAGCAGCTTGAGGACATGGAGGCCGCGCACCTCGACAAGGCGTCCGGGCTGGAGGACATCATCGCTCAGCTGGAGAACCAGCTCTGCGAGACCAAGGTTGAGATGGGGAAATACATGGCTGACTATCAGGAGCTGCTTCACATCAAGCTGAAACTGGACGCGGAGATCGCCACCTATAGGAAGCTTCTGGAAGGAGAGGAGAAGCGGCTAGGGATCTCCGTCATTGAAGGTCTGTCCGCAGTCGCGGGTGAGTTCGCCAAACTATACCAAGGTTTAAGGATTCTCTGCTTGCTTATTAGGGCTGGAATACACTTGATGATTTTTGCACCAATTTACAGTTAGTTTGCAGATTCAAGTTGACGGATTTTACAGGAAATAGTGTTTGGAGACAGACTTTCATTCGGTTGATGGAGATCAAATGTTAATAGGAAAAAAATATGTACTTACTCAGTGTTTCTGTTTTGTTTTTCAGCACAAACATCTAAACATTCTTAAAGCAAGAAACATTTACTGGAGAAGAAGCAAAATTACTTAAAAATTCTGATGTTTCAGAATGTTTCGATATTCTACAGAAAAAAGCAGTTTGATATTTTGGACAGATTTTTGAACATATTGATTTCATTTTTCATGTTTCTCCTAGCAATCCGTTCAGGTTTTAAAAGTCGTGTATTCTAGCTTTTAGACATAAACTGACTTTTGAAATATGAACAGATTTCAAACACTCGGCATCATACGCTTGCCGACTTTGTAACAGAGGAAGAGTTGGGCATCAAACACTATAACAGACTTTGAAGAATATTGTTTATTTCGAAATTCCAGAATTGTAAGCAAGCTGACAACAATCTAGATAGAGCTGTGAATGTGTATATGGTTGTCAATGAATGGGACGCTAAATTTTATTCAAATCTCAGTACATTTTGCCCAAGAAATAGACAGGAATAAACATTGTGTCCACCATCATGATTCCTATTCTTTCTGACAAGAGGATGTTCATGTCCAATTTCTGACTAGAAAAACCAGATTAGGAATTTCCAACCAGGAATTTCCATCTAGGAAAGACAGACTATACATTTCCGACTAGGAAACTTGTATTTATGATAAATATATTACATGAAGGCAGCATAAGTCTTGGAAAATTCTTGCTCTAAATGTGAATTCTTGTTTTTCCCAGCAGTGACGGAGGAGAGAACCACGTCTGTGTCCCGCACTGTAGAGACTCACACGGCTGTTGCCTGAGGACCGACACAAGCGACTGAAGACTCAAACCCGACTAAACCTGTCTCACTAAACTAGTGGAGTTAACAGAGACTCACGAGATGTAAAACGCTGTCTCAAATGTTACCAGGTACTAAATAAAGCTTGAGTTCAATGCACATTTGTCTGTGCTGATTATTGGTCTCTGGAGTTTCTACATTAATTTGTTTCTTTTCACTGTTGTATTTGGCTTGATCAGTTGGAGTTAAAAAATCAAAAATTGATTGATTTTACAACATTAACATTTTACTATTTATTGTATAAAGCGTTATAGAAATAAATATGACTTGACATTTAAAATGCCATATGCAGCTACGGTTCAATAGCAGTAATAACACACTCATTTAACTGTGATCAAACTGTTTTTACAGAATGAATTTTGAGTGTTTATAAGCTTTTGAATGATGATTACTAAAATATTTCATAGGGAAAATAAACCGAGACTCTTGACAGCTAAAAGGTCAAAAATATGATTATCCCATATAAAGAAAGACGCTTTTATTTCTCATAATGTAACACAAATAAATGTATATAATAAATGTGTAAACAGTTCATGACAGAAAGGATGGTGTTTAAAAGCATCACTTGACAACAATATAATCATTCACAGGATTCCGCCTCAGTTGAAAACTCACTATTCCTCATTTTGGTCAATGTTTTTCATCAAATCTCAGTTTCCCAGAACTAAATACGACTTGAGAGACCAACAAGGAATTTCCGACCAGGAAACTCCAACTAGGAATTTTCAAAAAGAAAAAAAAATAAAAGAAAAAAAAAAAACCAAAAAACTTTTGTCTAACCAAATTGAAATTGTTACAAATTTGAAGTCATCACAAAAAATGTATTGGTTTCCACAGGATGAATTGAATGATGAAGGATGAAAAGCTTTTGTTTTGAATGATGATTACTCAAATGTCATTGGAAAAAGAGCTGATAAACCAGGAATCTGACAGTTAGGGTCAAAAATAAGATTATCCCAAATAAAGATCTCACTACGCAGGATCTATTCTGCATGCCTCAAGTTGAAAACAGCTTGCTGACAATCATTTTGCTCAAATACAGTCTATTTTTCCATCGAAATGATCTCAGTTTCCCAGTAGTAAATACAACTTTAGAAGCCAAATTTCTGACTAAAAATTTCGGAATTTCGGAATCTAATATTTAGTCTAATTCTAATGGCATGAAGTGTTACGAGTAATTATGAGTTTTCTAGTCAGAAATTCCTTGTTGGAGTTTCCAAGTTGGAAAGTCAGAGAAGTCAGATTTACTACCAGAAATCGTAATAAAGATAAAGGACTTGTTATAATAAAGCGATTGAACAGAAAAAGCTCGTAATCATGACTGGGGAAGTGGGAAGAAAGACACTTCCAACTGAAGACAGCTAGAATACACAGCAGCAATCATTCTCCAAAAGTTTACAGCTTATGGCACGTTCAGGTCCAATTTTCGACTAAGAAAAGTTTCACACAGTTTCTCGTGAAGCATTTGGAGACTTGAATTACCACGTTGTGTGATTTGTGCTAAAAAAAAAAAAAAAAAACACGTTGCCTTATCTTCTCTAAAAAGCGTTCTGCCCGATCAGCTGACATAAACCACATTTCAATAAACGAAAAAACCTATCCAGTGATTAAATGTTTTCTGTATTGACGCAAATCTTGCGCAATGTCCTAAACTGCCGAGATAATCACAAGCGTGCCTTGGCTAGGCACTAATGCCACGGCCGATACACAAACAACTCATTTTAACCTTTCACTTTAATGAATAGTTAAAACAACTGACCTGTCCAACACTGAACTCACGAGACCTCTGAATCGGTGTATATATATATAAAAATAAAAATTCGGTATAGGCTAATTAGATTAGTCGACTAAGCTACTATTAATAAACTGCACTTCTACAGCATTGTTAATGCTAATTTCAATATTTAGAGTCTGTATAGGCCCACTATCGGCTAAAGAGTCTAAAAAATGATGTGTTGGATTTACTTAAATATATATATGCACCGTTTTTGCATCATACTTTTTAAGTAATCCCAACTTGGAATAATTTTACTTAAAATTAACAAGAAAATCTTTGTTATATGTACTTAATTATTTGAGTTCACGCAACATTCTTTACTTAAAAATGTATGCATCACGTTACATATATTTTTAAGTAAAGAATGTCACGTGAACTCAAATATTTAAGTTTATTTTATGTAAAATTATACCAAGTTAAAAATTTACTTAATTAAATGATTACGGATTACTTAAAGTATGACGCAAAAATGGTGCATATATCTTTTAAGTAAATCCAACACAGTGCAGGCCATGTGAGATCAAAACAAATCTTAGTTCTGTTTACTTAACATTTAAGCTCATTTATATATACAAAATAAGACAATTAAATCAGTTGAACCAACCATTTTAACTTAGTTTAGATCTTCAGCTTACATGTCTTAAAATAAATTAAACATGCAAATCACACACAATAAAGCATTTCACTTTATTTATTTTTTACCCAAAACTTTTAAATTGCATCTTAAAATATATTAAAATAGAAAATAGTTGTTAAAATAATAATAATAATAGTCACAATATTACAGTTTTTTCTTGGATCAAAGAAATGAAGGCTTGGTGGGCAGAAGATATATAGGCCAATATCTTCAAAAATCAATAAAAAACAATTAAATGTAACAAATTAGTCCATTATTAAATGCCTATAAATATAAAAATGTGTCTATTAATATCTATTAATTTAAACAAAACAGAAGTTAATTAATGACTTTTGTCCAGAGGTTTTGAACGAATCTCTTCAGTAACTACTGCAAAACAGTAAAGATCTACAATCTTTATTTGAAGCTAAACTTTTGTTTAAAGGGTATTTACTTATTTTGATAATAATTTTGAAGGTTTAATTTACTGAATGTCGCTGTCATTTAGGAATAATATTGTGCTAGAATCAAGATTGCCATTATTTAATGATAAATTGTGCACACGGAGCTGTAGGCAATGTGTTTTTGAATGTAATATTTATGTTAACGTTACCAAAATAGGCTAACCCGCGCCCAAAACCCCCTTCCCCACGATCCATGTATAGATAGAGAATATGGGAATTTGTAAATATGCAAGGTACATTTGTTTTATCCAAAAACAACTCGCTAATAAACCCAGCCAACATGTATATGTGGGCCCCACATGGTTTATGCTTGGGCTACGTGGGTACCAAGTGGGTATGGTCCCAAAATGGGCATCTTTTCTGGGGCCCACTTGGGTCAGCTACGTCGGTCCCACATGGGCAAAAATAAGTGGGCTCCCTATGTGGGTCCTAGTTGGGTCACTAATGGGAAATGAGGGCATGGGCTCAAAATGGGGAACACAAATGGGGCCCATTTGGGTTTATCAAATGGGTGAGACATTGGCAAATACAACCAGTCCCATATAGGCTGCCTGCGTGGGCCCAAGGTAGTACCCACATAGATAATCTCTATATGGGTTATGAATGGGAAAAATATATGGGGTCCACTTTCATAACCCATATGGGTCAAACATGGGCAAACACAATCAGTCCTATATAGGCTGCCTACATGAGCCCAATGTGGCACCCACGTTGGTAATCTCTATATGGGTTTTGAATGGGGCAATACATATGGGGCCCACATGGCCAAACTATATCGGACAGACATGGGCAAACACAAACAGTCCCATTTAGGCTGCCTACATGGGCCCAAGGTAGTTCCCTCATAGGTAATCTCTATATGGGTTCTGAATGGGAAAAACATATGGGGCCCACTTTGATAAACCGCATGGGTCAGACATGGGCAAACACAAACAGTCCCATTTAGGCTGCCTACATGGGCCCAAGGTAGTTCCCTCATAGGTAATCTCTATATGGGTTCTGAATGGCAAAAACATATGGGGCCCACTTTGATAAACAGCATGGGTCAGACATGGGCAAACACAAACAGTCCCATTTAGGCTGCCTACATGGGCCCAAGGTAGTTCCCTCATAGGTAATCTCTATATGGGTTCTGAATGGGAAAAACATATGGGGCCCACTTTGATAAACCGCATGGATCAGACATGGGCAAACACAAACAGTCCCATTTAGGCTGCCTACATGGGCCCAAGGTAGTTCCCTCATAAGTAATCTCTATGTGGGTTCTGAATGGGAAAAACATATGGGGCCCACTTTGATAAACCGCATGGGTCAGATATGGGCAAACACAAGCAGTCCCATATAGGCTGCCTACATGGGCCCAAGGTAGTTCCCTCATAAGTAATCTCTATATGGGTTCTGAATGTGAAAAATATATGGGGCCCATTTTGATAAACCGCATGGGTCAGATATGGGCAAACACAAGCAGTCCCATATAGGCTGCCTACATGGGCTCAAGGTAGTTCCCTCATAAGTAATCTCTATATGGGTTCTGAATGTGAAAAATATATGGGGCCCATTTTGATAAACCGCATGGGTCAGATATGGGCAAACACAAACAGTCCCATATAGGCTGCCTACATGGGCCCAAGGTAGTTCCCTCATAAGTAATCTCTATATGGGTTCTGAATGGGAAAAACATATGGGGCCCACTTTGATAAACTGCATGGGTCAGACATGGGCAAACACAAACAGTCCCATATAGGCTGCCTACATGGGCCCAAGGTAGTTCCCTCATAAGTAATCTCTATATGGGTTCTGAATGTGAAAAATATATGGGGCCCATTTTGATAAACCGCATGGGTCAGATATGGGCAAACACAAGCAGTCCCATATAGGCTGCCTACATGGGCCCAAGGTAGTTCCCTCATAGGTAATCTCTATATGGGTTCTGAATGTGAAAAATATATGGGGCCCATTTTGATAAACCGCATGGGTCAGACATGGGCAAACACAAACAGTCCCATATAGGCTGCCTACATGGGCCCAAAGTAGTTCCCTCATAGGTAATCTCTATTTGGGTTCTGAATGGGAAAAACATATGGGGCCCATTTTGATAAACCGCATGGGTCAGATATGGGCAAACACAAGCAGTCCCATATAGGCTGCCTACATGGGCCCAAGGTAGTTTCCTCATAGGTAATCTCTATATGGGTTCTGAATGTGAAAAATATATGGGGCCCATTTTGATAAACCGCATGGG